CCGGAGAAAACGCACGCGTTCTAGGGGGCAATACGCTATCCCATACAGAAGGGACAGATTCTATAAATCCACACTTTGCTGCACTGCTTTTTGCTGGCGCGCAAAAGATATGACACCTCGACGCCCACAACGTCTGTGTGCGATCCACCAACCCTTGCGGCTACCTCCACAGTGTCGGACTACAGGTCACGTGTTGCATGGCGACCACCACCACCCGGCTAGGCAACAGAACCATCTGAGAACGACAGCCACGGCTGGGCGTCTCCAGCGCGGTCATTGGAGGCGCGCGACAGCAGCAGCCGCGGGGCTGGTGCGGGTTGACACGGACCGTTTTATTCACTCGGTAAAGCCCCACTGAGCTATCAGCTCTTGTTCAGAGGCGACCTGGCCACACGTGATAGCTCATCACAGTGGCTTACAGCATCACACGTGGGAATTTATAGTGGCAGCCAAATCATTCAAACGCATGGCTAAATTGAAAGAAAGCCGGGTAAACATCCGCGAGACCACCACGGGGAGAACACGCTAGCTCCTAAAATACTACAGACATCGCAGGGTCCGGGATCGAACCCACAGCCTCCTGCGGCGCTCCTTGGAAGATCCACAATGCCACGAGGAGGGAATTGTAAGTAATTTCCTGGCCAAACCCGTCTCGGTACACAATGAGACGCTGATACCGGGCGGCAGCAGCGGCGGTGCAGTGTCAACGTTCGCGCATCGCAGCAAGAGGCGCCTGGGCTCTCACTCGGGCGCCTCTCCGTTAGCGGCCTGTATGATCTCCCCCTGTTCTGCGGGTTGTACAGGCTTCCTCCCACAGCTAAAAAACATACAACGTTACTGTTATTGGCCAACATCCCAATGTCAAAAAAAAACATTTCTGCAGATTACTGAATTGGGGATGATGCACAGTCTTGAGAATTAATGAGGCCTTCCTGGGTAAACAAGCATAATAACAACAATAATAACCCTGCAACACACGAGAGAGAGAGAGAGGCGCTTGCTGCCGTTGATGTGGTGAGCTGCTCGCGAGTCACGGCTGCTGGGGTTCACTCTGCGGGTCACCGGCAACTCCAGATAAAAAAACAAAACCCGCGACATGAACCCCAGGCAGCGAACATCGCTCCTGCCTTCCCCGATAAAACAAAGGCCAGAGCCGGCGCTATCTGGAGCGCGGACTGTTTATAACGTTTATTTCTGTTCAACTCGCCCTGTTTATCTTCAGCCTTTTAATATAAGCCACGGGGCCCGGCAGTTGCCAGAGATAAACCCGCGCAATCTCACGCGGCGTGGAACTCGGCCTCCGAGTTTGTGCGCGCGCAGTGTGGTGTGATGTGTGTGGTGTGTAGATTAGCCTATGCATGTCTGTGTGTGGTATGGCGTGTGTGTGTGGTGTGTATGGTGTGTATAGTATGAGGTGTGTGCGGTGTGTAGATTAGCCTGTGCATGTCTGTGTGTGGTATGGCGTGTGTGTGTGGTGTGTATGGTGTGTATAGTATGAGGTGTGTGCGGTGTGTAGATTAGCCTATGTGTGTGGTATGGGTGTGTGTATGGGAAGCGATGGTGTAGCGGTTAGCGCACTGTGCTATAAACCCCACGACTCGAGTTTGATTCCCACTCACGACTAATAACAGTGGTGAATATCTGAACCGGTCATGGGCCTCCCCTACGTCAACTCAGAATTAAATGAGTACCTGGTGCCGTATTTAAACATCAGCACTGGGGAGACAAAGGCGGTCGGGCATGTTGTTGACCACCCACCCCCTGGTGTGCCGTGTCGGACTTCATAGTGTTCGCTCACAGAGCTTATTCCAAAAGTATCTGAAGGTTTTACGGGGGGTCCTTTATTTGTAGTGGGGATCGTCTGTATATGAGAGCGGCTGAACTATTGGTAAACTCAACAGCCCTGAACTCTGCTAGTGAAGCTGACAAATTATCACGTAAAGCGGGGAATCGACCAACAGTTTTGCTCTTAATTTTTATTTATTTTTTGTTTAATGAGAAATTACTTCCTCCCTACTGGATTGTTATTCGTGAAGGGTATTTTTCAGCTGGAGACGAGGCGCTCTCTTAATGGGACTTGTGAACGGAATCAATGGCAGTAATTTTTTACATTGACCCAGGACGCAAATGAGCGAGGAACTTCCCGCGGCGAAGGGGGCGACGCAGTCAATTGTGCTCACTGATCAGCCACGTTAGGCGGTCAACGTCATCACACGACACACATTTTGATACACACGCGCTACTATTACACTACACACACGTTTATTTAGATGCATTGCTATTCACACTGACACACATTAGATTACACGTAGTAATAGTCACATGAACACAAGTTTACATCATGTTAAAACGTTATTATATACAGTCACACAATGGCATACTCTAAATACAATAATGTACATCCTCTCTCGCTCACACTCAGCTAGCTGCAACAACCGTCACTGGTCATAACGTGACGTGATCAAGACATTTGTGCAAGGATAGTTGCACTTCGAGGCGGAATTCCATGGCTGACAATGGCATTAATCTCAGAGAGACACAAAGAGACACGTCCATGGTGCTGATCCTACAGAGACACACAGAGATAGAGCTGTCCATGGTGCTGAGCCTACAGACACAGAGCTGTCATGGTACTGATCGAACAGTGGTAGCTGTCCATGGTGGAGATTATAATAGATAGAAACGCAGAGGGCTGTCTATGAAACTGATAACACACCAAGACATAGGCAAGGTGTTTTGGTATTTATCATATTTAGACAGAATCACACTTTCTCGCCTAACTCGCTCAATTTGGGTGTCAGTGTGGCACAGTGGGCTCATGTGTGCCTTGCAGCAAGACCCTTTTGGGTAAAATGTCTGACTCTGGCATCTCTCTGTGTGGAGTTTGCATGTCCTCCTCTTCTGCATGGGTTCTCTCCAGGTTCTCCGCTTGAATCCCTTAGCTCCAGGGTCGGTAACGAAAATAACAATAAGATAGTTTTATTTTCGAATGCGGTAAAAAAAACCCTCAATATTTCAAGAGTCGCAATGCATGTGAATATGAGACGGTGGTCCTTAATAAATAACGCCACGAAGCGGTCCTTAAAGAGCCTCATGAGTCCCCGAAGCCGCAGGTTGCCGACCTCTGCATTAGCTAAAATAAAACTCACGAACAATGTAGACGGCATTCTCCAGACATTCCAATGCTGAAAATGTATATTCACATTACTACATCGGAATCACATAGCAGCAGCACACCCCACCCCCACTACGATAACTTGGCAGGACCCTGCTGAAAACAGTTTTGAGACTCAGTGTTTCCTAGGTAAACATGCGGAATCACGATGATAATAACTCCGTGATAACAGAGTGTGGATTTTGATTTAAAGCTTTCGTGACTGCAGTAATTCATATTCTTAGTTTTTTCGGTAAAGTCACGTTGAAGAGAAACAACAAAATAACAAAATATATATAAAACAATAAAAAATTCTCACGACGTTTCGACGTCGAAACAATAAAAAATTCTCACGACGTTTCGACGTCGAAACGTCGTGAGAATTTTTTATTGTTTTATATATATTTTGTTATTTTGTTGTTTCTCTTCAACGTGACTTTACCGAAAAAACTAAGAATAAGAGTGTGGATTGTTTTGTACAATGCTGAGCGAATGTTCCTTTTTCGTCCAATTTTGGAAAATGCGTGCCCATTTGCCCATCGCCAGCAATGGGCAAATGGGCAAGGTAAATGGTGTTGGGGCCGTGTCGTGTGTATGCGAATCTGACCCATGATGCATCTGTTTGGTTGTATGTATGTGTCTATGTTAAAAGGTGCGCCAGAGTGTACTGTGTCTCTGCGCGAGTATGAAATTCTTATATATGCAAGCGTGCACGCGTATGTACGTGTATGAGTTTACATGTGTGTGTACTGTAGATGTGGGGAGCGGTAGTGTAGTGCTTAGCGCACTACGCTGCAAACCCGGCAACCAGAGTTCGATTCCCGCACTGAGCCGATTCTGTCACTTGCATGGCATTTTGCAGTAAGAGGCGATCGCGGTCTGTGTGGTTGCCCCATAAAGGTTTTTGAAAGTTTTATGTGGCCCTCGGGAAGGAAAAGGTTTCCCACCTCTGGTTTACAGCGACGGATTGCGGTGCGCCCTCTGTCTCCGCGCGTCACCGTCGTGAGGATTTATGGGACACGCGTGGCTGCTCTTCCCGCGCCCACGAGGGGAGGAGGGGACGGAGCTCCCCGTATTCCTTGCCGAGTTCGAATTTTAAATCCTCTCCCTTGCTCAAACCATCGTGGGGCGCTGCAGATATCCGTCACCAATGTGCTACACAGAAGGGCAATTTCCTGTAGCAATTTATATATTTTATTCATAAGTTAAACTTAATTTCATGGATTTGTTATAAGTTCCTGGAACTGAAAATAATTAGCGTAGCAAAACTTCGAGTATCGAACTGCTCAGTTTGGATGTGAGAAGAGTTGTTTACTCACGGTCAGCTGACACT